TGCGAAGTAAAGCGTGATTTTACTTTTTTATTCCAATTATATTTAATTTGTATAAAAATACAGATTGAAGTTTGAACATACAGGTTACAAAATCATCAAAGTTAGAATCGTTCTTGTGACGTAGCCGTTTGTTGAATTTTGGGCAAAACTACTCAGAGTCTTTCTGCAGTAATGATAAACTAGAGGGAACGCAGCTAGTCAACATCACCCCGTTGTTTTTATAATGCACTTTTTGTGGTAACGAGATATGAACTCTGGAACCTCAGATCCAGTCTGACCACTAAATAGTTAATATAATTTTGGTTACTGGTGTAAGGTGTCTTATCGTACTTTTATCCACTTTCCCCGTTGAACAAAGGCTCTGCTCTATGACAACCATACATTGGTGGAAGAACTCCTATATCTGGGAGAGGGTTGAACTCACTGGCAGATGACTGTTGCCAGAGTCTGGTCAAGGTAAATTGTACAATAAGAAGCTAAGTGAATTGCACATTCACTAGTTCTTGGAATGTGCCCCGATATCATAGTAGCAAGTGCATTTGCCACAAGTTATGTCAGGCACAGCACACGCACTACATCTGATTCTAGCTGATTTTTTCCAATGAAATTATGATTGTTCATGATGTTTAACTTTACACTGCTGTTGGAACTTCTGACTTATCACAGGTTGAGTTAACTTGGAGTTTTAAATCCTAACTTTTGCTTTTAAAAGCCATGATTCTCGATCACTGGCCATTTTATTTAGAAACCAGTGAGAAACGTGCCTGGAGAAAAGACTGCCAAGAATGGAGAACGAGGTGTCAAGCTGGAGGCACTGAGCGCCATCTTAGAGATCCAACAGATAGATTCAGGTGAGAAGGCTACTTAACCTATGAAGGAAGATAAGTCACAGCATACAGCAGAAACCACGCACACAGTGTCTAGAATGGAAGGCAGTGTGTAAAAAAAAACAAGGCTACATTGATGGTTCTGAAAGAAACGACGGGATCTTCCTTAAAAAATAATTTTAGTCGATCATTAATATGAAGGAAGTAAAAGTGTTTCTTTAGTATCCCGGGTAGGTTTTTTAGTTTTGGATGATAGGCAATAACCAGTGGAAGACGAGAAGAATTGGTTTTAGGTAATTGTTTCAAGACAGATTCACGTGGTGTATTGTTAGCTTTATCAAGTTGTTGAGTGGTAGTGTTTTGTTTATAACCTCTTTCAGTCATAGTCTGTTTCCAATAATTAATGTGACGGTCATAGTTCTTACTATCAGAGCATATCTTCTTTAATCTAAGTGCTTTATTGAATGTGATATTGTGTTTGGTGACAGCTTTGTATATAGAAATATTGTGGTTTATCCGTTGGTTTTCGTTACAAATCTGTATGTAGAACAACATCGTTTAATGTTAGGTTTACATCGAAGAAACTTATTTGGGTAATGGAGTAGTATAGAGTAAATTTGATAGAACTGTGGAAGGTGTTAGCATGTCTATAAAAGGACAGTCGTGAATCTTCGTTTCCTACCCAAATGAAAAAAAAAAAAAATGTCATCAATGTAACGTCTCCAAAACGTTGGTTTGTCTGTGCAACTTTCCAATAGTTTCGTCTCTAAGTCTCCCATAAAAATGTTGGTATAGTTTGGTGCCCATAGCTGTGCCTTTTGTTTGAATATAGAATTCATTATTAAATTCAAAACCGTTAAGTGTAAGTACTAGTTCAGCTAAGTCTGTAATAATTTGAGTGTTGGGTTTGTCTAGTTTTAGCACAGAATATTCTAGGGATTTTAGGCCTTCGTCATGGGGGATGTTTGTTTAGAGAGAAGAAACATCCATAGTACAGAGAATAGTGTTTGGGGGAAATTTTCCGTTGCTCTTAATGTCAGAGATCATGTTTAAAAAATAAGCTTTCAGTAGACATGCCGCAGTTAGAAATAATAGGAGACCAGGATTGTTGGGTTTGTGTATTTTTAGTAACATATAAAAGCGACCTGGAACTGGGTTTTTGGGTGAAGGGAACTATAACGTTTCACGACTGATGTGTTGGCTTTTCTGTAAATTACATGGCGTATTTTCAATAATTTTAACAAATTGCGGTGTGGGGTCCAAATCTACCTTTTATAGTGGTTTGTGTCATTAAGTTGTCGGTAAGCTTCATTGATGTAGTCGGATTTATCTTGGATGGCAATATTTAAAGTGAGTTTCACAGTGGTATTGTAATAACAGAGATAACGGAAAATAATTTGTTTTGTCAGTTGGTGTTCTAAAGTAATTGAATCTCCCTGTGTGGACTTTGACGAAAAGGAGACAATTATTTGAAGCTCTGGATACAACTGTGGTAACCCACGTGGTAACATAAGTGAATCTATCGCAGATTGTACAGTAAAAAACAGAGTATAGAAAAATAATTTGCCTTGTCAATTGTTTGTTTGTTTGTTTTAAATTTCGCACAAAGCTACACGAGGTCTATCTGCGCTAACCGTCCCTAATTTAGCAGTGTAAGACTAGAGGGAAGGCAGCTAGTCATCACCACCCACTGCCAACTCTCGGGCTACTCTTTTACCAACGAATAGTGGGATTGACCGTCACATTTTAACACCCCCACGGCTGAAAGGGCGAGCCTGTTTGGTGTGACGGGGATTCGAACCCGCGACCCTCAGAATGCCGAGCCCCTTGTCAATTGAGTTCTAAAGTAACTGAACCAGTCTGTGTGGACTTTTGACAAGAAGAGAGAATAATTTGTAGGTATAGATACAATTTTGATAACCAACAGTAAAACGAATTTTTGTACATTCGTTGGATTTGTTTTGAATATATTATTTTAATACAAGTGGATTGTGTGCTGTCCGTTTATTGTTTATCGCCAACAAGTCACAGACACCTACTGTAAAGAATCTGGCCCTAATAACAAAACTCTGACACCCCCCCCCCATAAAAAAAACAACTTAGAATGATAAAATGAAGTCAACCCCAAGGAATAGCAATGACTGTACTCCCACCAAACACACTACATACAATCAGTCCGTGATGGAACCAGTTTAGCGACTGTTACCACTGTCAAGTGTGAACCATGGAATAGTTAAAGGCTTGCGCCCTGACACAGAGGGAAGCCTAACATCTTATTGGCTAACTAAACTCCAAAAGCCGATACCTCACTCAAGAGAATTGCAAACATCAAAAAGAAAACCAGTGGCTCCAAGAGGAAATAGTGTGCCTCTAGGGCGGCATTTAGAGGGCCAGAGAAGCTTTTGGAAAGCTCACTGCTAAAACCTAGCAATCTGCAGAGAACCTTAACGATCTTCTGTCTCCCTTCTAACGGTGCCGTGAAGATAGTTCATTATATTGTTATGCGAGTTCTTTCTTTTGTTTTGTTGTGTGCGACACTATTTATCTATAACTTTTTTTTTTTTAGCAACTGTATTTAATCTCACAATCAACTTTATGGTTCTTTCTCGGCTAATTCTAAATTCCTTTAACCTTACGTTTTACTTAACGGTTTTTCTTGATAATCACTAATTTTAAGCCGATCATTTTATTTTTTTTTTTTGCTCATTTGTATGAATCTTTTTACTCTGTACTTTTATTCACTTATGTTGTAATTTTGGCTTTCTGTAGTAAAATTTTGAAACAAAAGGTTATTTGTCACATAAGTAAACTGAAAAGTATCCATTTTCTTTAATGTGTATTTAAGTTTTTTTATTTTGAATTTTTACACTGAATTTTTACAGTTATGTTCATTTTTACTTATTCGAGTTGAGTTGTAAAGTTTGGTTAATTGTATTATGATTTGTTTTGTAATCGGCTTCTTTTTAAGATAACTTCGTTTTGTGATTTCCTTTGGAGATTGTGTACTGTATTGTAATTTTAACTTATTATTGTTATTACAGTGTCAATCATGATTTTGATTTTCTGCATTTTGTTGTTTATTTTAGTTTAACTGTATTTATCATTATGTTGAATTGTGTTTCATCTTAGTTTATATTTACTGGCTACCATATGTGTAATGTTTCTTGTCTTTGTTTAGGTGTATTGGCGTCATGCATATCACCTGAAAACAATTATTATTATAGCTTACAACCAGTTATTAATTTTCCGATTTTTCGACCATTAACTTAAAGCATGAGTCCAGATCACGCCTGAGATAAGTAAGGGAGGGGAGCTGTAATAATTGAAATAATAACGAGTTTCGTTACAACTAGTACATCTTTATTTAGATATATTAACTTAATATTTTTCTACATTTACATATGGTTTTTGTATGTAGTTATGACATTCTCATTGACTTGGAACTCTCAGACTAGTGTGTAGTTCTGTCTCTTGCTCATCATCTCTTGTTTTGCAGCCTTTAAATCCCAGCTGCCAATAAAGCAGACAGAAGAAGCACAGCCAGTTTTGGTGACATAACACTGTTTGTTTAATAAAGAATTTTGCATTTGTTGGTTTTTCCCAATTGTCCTCGTGAAATTTCTTCTTCACCCAACAGTCCTGAACCTGCATTTTGTACATGCTTTTGGCTTTTTTTGTTGGGTATCAGTGGATCCAATTACTTTAAGGGTTTACAGTGTGAACTTAATAAAACATGATATAAAACATTAGTGACTCTTTATACCTTTATATAATTTTGAAGTGAATGGTTTCCAGGACCCCAAATATAATTTTCATTAATATTAATTTAAAACAAATTAAGTTTAATAAACAGCTAGCAAATAACATTTCAATGGTGCTGTTTTCCCATTTCAAAATGTCTTTTGTCTAACGTAGAATCTATAATTTAAGAGAACTCTCATTAAATATGAATATTCATTTATATGTTTATCAGATATAACTCTTAAAAGACATGAAAAATATTATAATGGTGTTTATGAAAAACAAAAGAAAAATAGTACAATAAACTTCAAAATATCTATAACTACCTCTTTTAACATTGGAGTACTTTCTGTTTATGTGTGTGTGTGTGTGTAGGTGTGGGTGCACTATAATTTTTAAAATTATTTTTAAAATAAAAGTACAATGATTAAATAATTTTGCTAAATTTTTTTATTATCACAAAAGAAATTTAATTAATCATACCATATTATTACTATTATCAATAACATTAAAGAGTCGATGAAGATGTGAAGTGAGTTGTGTCAATATTTCTGTTGCTCCACAAAAAAGGGGGGGTTACACTTAGGATTCAGGCATGTCTCCACCAGGTACCATCTAAAAAATAAATAAGGGAAGACCATTTAGTTCATCTATAATGACAGTTGGCAAAATATTAAAATATTTAATTTTCACATCCAATAATCACATAACTGGGAACTTGTACATATCTACATCTGGCAACCAACTAAACTGAATCTAAAAGACTAGTAAAATCTCAAGAAATTGATGTAAATGACAAAAAAAACAACATTTTGAAGTTTATATATTAGATTATATTTCTAAGTTATACTCATTATTTTACATTTTAATTAATTACCTTTAATAATTAGTACAACCAAAAAGAGTGTGAGTAAATAAAACATTAAAATAAATACAAAATAATATCAATTTGTTTCTAAAGAATCAGTTGCAATAGATTTATAACACTATCCAGAAAGTATGTTGTACAACACTATGTAACACCTTAACACTTCTCAGTGTTACACAGCATAGCCTTATTGGAGCAATTTACTTCAGTGTTACCTACAGCTACAATGTAGTCCAGTGATCATGCACTATATGACTATTTGGTATGTATACAGTCCGGTGATCATGTACTATACGACTACTTGGTACGTATGTAGTCCAGTGATCATGCACTATATTACTATTTGGTATGTATACAGTCCAGTGATCATGTACTATACGACTACTTGGTGTGTAGTCCAGTGATCATGTACTATACGACTACTTGGTGTGTAGTCCAGTGATCATGTACTATACGACTACTTGGTGTGTAGTCCAGTGATCATGTAC